CGATCAAAACATAGCTCACAAGCTCGCACGCCCATGTGCTCGCCAACCACAGACCATATGAAAATGAGTAAGTAGTGCGAACGCGAACCTAGTTGCGCCGAAAAAAAAAAAAAACGTCGAGCAGTGGCAGCACAGGCGTCAGCGCAATAATTTCAGTGTGTTCTCCTAATACAATTATAAAAAAAAAAACTGAGGTACACTAAAACTCATAAATAAATATAAAAAGTTGAGTGTAATTTTTATTTAGTGCTAGTCAACATAAACACCGAATAAAAATTACTTTGTAACTTACATCGTTTGCTACACTAGCGCCACACTTGTCGTGTGGGCGCAGATGGCACAGATTTGTCATTCTGCCCTCAAACTACACGGTGAAGCGTGCTACTAAGTGTATGGCTGATGAGAAGTGCGTCTGGGTCCGCTTTTTGTTTTTTTTTCTCCGATATATCTGGGCGGGGTGGGGGGGGGGGCTCTTTATGCACGTGTTTCGGTGCTTGATCGACTTTGACGCCCTTACTTCGCGGACGAACGGCGTGTCTAGGCTTTTTTTATCGTTGTTTTGCACGTGTTTCGGCGTTCGGTCCGCTTTGACGTGCCAACTCTCCATTCTGCTGCTGCGTGTGTTAGGTATTTGCCATACTGTATTCTCAGGCCTTCTGTGTTCAGCCAGCGCTGCTATCTTATTATCTACGGATGCTAAAATAAATCACTGTTTTGGTTTGGTGAAGTTTGGCACACAGAACAAACAATGTTCTGGCCCATGAATATCAATGTGGGCGGCATGCATATTTGTGTGCGGTGTCCTGCCGGGGAGTAACCGTTGCGTGACGAGAGCATTTACAGCGGTTCCTCCTTTCGTTGCTCCCTTACAAACTTAAGATGAATACAGTTGCTCCCCCATTCTCGAACAAGTCGGCCATCTTGTTCCTCTTGGTCTTTTCGGAGAGTAACAGTCGGTCTGAAGGTGTAAAAACAGCCGTTGCTCCCATTTTGGCCATTTTTGGCTTAGAGTGAAGGGTCAAGCGCGCGTACGCGTCAGAGGCGTGCTTCCAAGAGACTTACAAAAGTTGTCGCTGATAAACTGCGCAACTGACGCGTCCACATACGGACGCACTAAGTTTGAGAGTAAGAATCATGAGAAGTGATGGAAATTTATTGGGTTGCCATGTATACAAAAATGTGCCTTGTTTCATTTGCCATTGTTGAGAATGCGTCCGCGTCAGCTACTAATGAGCCTCGAACACATCGTTCATAAATTAAAGATGATATACCGCCTAAAATAGCACGTTTACGGCATTACCGTCGAGCACCGTCCTGGCCATTTCTTCAACGAATCCCGTAACGGCGTCGTCGGCGTTGTCGTACTGCTGAAGGTCGCTGGAAGTGGCGTGCCAGTCAGCGCAGGTGAACTCGTAGAAGTTGTCACAGGGGTCTCGGGGGCTGCTGAATATGGCCGGACAGGTAGCTGGCTGCGCGGAGCAAGCGATAAACACTAGCAGTGGCTTTGATGCACTACGAATGTTTATTTCCGAAGAAGTAACACGTACACATACCTCTCACCCGGCTTTAATTATCTTGAAAAAATAGTTGAAGTTTATTTCTTCGAAATCAACTGATAACGAGTGATAGCTATGTTCGGCTTGGCTGGTCAGAGTAGCTTCAAACTTGACACGCTTCTGGCTTGCCAAGCTTCTTTTTTTAGTGCTAATCTTGCCTTCCTTCTCGGCTGTCTTTGAGCAGGCATCTTTGCCCCCTAGATTTTGTGGTCTTCCGTCTAGCTATATCCACCACACCACTTGATTCCTGCCTCTCTCTAGCTGCAGCACTCGCACAGGCGGCCTGGCCGTCCGCTGTCCACGGCCAGACTTGAACAGTTGGCGACCAGACGCTGAAGAAGCATCCTATAAACTTTTGCTTAGTCAGGCAGGTAACGCAGCGGTATAGTGTAATAGAACTGCAGCAGCGGCGAGGCTCATAGCGAGCGCAGCTGCCAAACTTCTCCGCAGCCGTTCACGTGGCGTGAAGTCTCGCCTGCCACCCCTTCACTCCCGTCGCTCGCGCTCACGTGGCACAAGGTCTTGCGAACGCGATGTATGACGCAGCGTAGTAGAACGGTTTGCTCTGAAAATTTTTAGAGTGCTGATACGGCTACGTAGCTATAGCCACAAACATATGGTGATTTAAATAAACGTAGCTCTTCGCACAGGAAGTCAGGTTTTCTAATAGATGTGCTCTTGTACACGTAAGAAAAGGCATTGTTCAGGCCCGCGGAATGCCATTGAGAAAAAAAAAAGCGCTTAAAAGAGACAGTTCAGCTTCCTTGCATTCAGTGAGACCTGTATATCAGCGGATTGAATTTGTGGCTCATGTCAATTGAGATGTGTGATTCGGTTCGTAATGATCAGAAAAGTTTGCTTCAGAATTTGTCCAGAATTACTTAACGCTGGTTCATTACGGGAAACAATAGTTTTACGAACGTAAATATAGAAAGTTGCTAGTTCTGAGTGTTTAAGATAATTTGGCTAGAAAAAAAAACGTTTGTTGGAATGTTGTCTATTGAAGTAAAGTTTCTTCATTTATCAAGTCGACTTCAACAGAAATGTTGTTTATTTGCATACCCAATGTGGAAGTGCATAGTGTTTACTTTGACATCCGAAATTTTCAAAGAGTGCGCTCATTCCATTCAGTTAGAAAATTTCATGGTTAAACCTCAGGAAAACGACGACCACAACAACAGCGACAACAACAATATCAATGATGTCAATGATAAAGAAATATGAAATGCCACCCGATAGTAGGTTATAATACGCATTATACAGAAAACACTGCCACCTTCATCAAATATAGCATTATAGACCATCGAATCGTTTTCTAGAAGTGAAAATAAGTTGTAAGGTAATTTAAAAGATAATTTACCGACTGCGCTGAAGATAATGATCTTATTTCATTAGCTGTTAATTACGTTGAAGTTCATGGTATCTGCAAACGAAAAAAACAACAATTGAAGAGCTCATTATTCTTCTATAGACACAGATCTTTGTGAAAACCAACAGCCAATGAAGCCAAAGAAGGAGGTGTTATTTGCAGTCATTTAGCTGGATTATATTTGGTATGATGCAAATGTAAAAGAATTGAAGTGGGCGAAAATCGAACATGTCGTACTTATGTGCTAAGTACGAGGTCGAGATAAACAAATTCGCTTTCTGCCACAGATAATTTTCAGGGGGGCAAAGAGTACTAATTACTGCTCCTTCTCAGATCCATGCAAAATTGTTGCTACACAGGTGCAATCGAAACACAATTCGGAAATGCGTACACATACAATATATTACCAGTAAAAATTGTGACTGTATGACAAACAGCTTTAGCACAACAGTGTGTGCTATAAATGCACACTGGGCCTCAAAGCGTAAGAAATGAACAATGCTCACCTTGAAGCAAGATTTAGCCTTTGCTCTGAAAAGCACTTTTACGTGTTGTGAAACTTTTTAGCAGTATCAGGCAGATGTTATGCAAAGGAAGATGCCACACGTAGTGCAGTGGAACTTTGTTTGTAGAGAACATCCTGGATTTTAGTTTACGAGTTGTAGCACGCGGTTTACTTGCGCAGTTTTTGGCATCTTTGCTGTCAGCAGCTTCCACGGTGGGTCAATGTCAAATTCTGCACCTCACCTGCCTTCCGACTCTAGGAACTGGTGATGGCATAGCCTCATCGTCCGACAATTCCAGCTCCGGTTTTCGTCTCAAGAACACATTATCCCACTTTTTTATCCCATACTATTAGATGAAAGAAATGCCAAAGCCAAACAGCAAAGAGCTTAACACATACCACATGAGATTGTCTAACGTAAGAAGGCAAATGCACCCATCGAGACCGAGTGTAAATTATAACGCACATTTGAAGGCAACATCTTCTTATAACAAAAATATTCGCTGTTAGGTTAAACAAACGAGCAGAAATTATTCCTAACCTTTTCCTAGGTAGACTGAAACAACAATAAAAATATATAACTGGTAGATAATTGAGGGATTTGGGACCTACCGCTACACTGTTACTAGAACGTGGAAGCCAAAAACTATATGTTGGAAAGCAGGAAAGCATCGTTTCCACTGCAGAGTTCTTTTTGTATTGCTGATCAGAGTACACCACATATTAGAGAATGCAATTGCCCCGAGAATGGTGGCTCTAATTGCACCAAGAGTTCCAACTTTAAAAAAGTAATGTGAGTTTTAGTGCACGTGGGGTCTGCAGAGGATATTTGTTCTGAATGGTAATTGTTGGACTACATCTTATCTGCCTTTACGCTTCTTTCTGAGCGCTTCAACGTATGAATTTGAAGAGCTTGAGACTTGTATATTTTTGCGTACGCTTGGCAGCACGACAATGTAAATAAAATTCGACTTGAATCAGCGCCTTTAAACAGGCGAGAAATCCTTCATGGCCAGCGTTTTAAAGCTGGTATACACTTCAATATAGGTAGACAGAAATGAACAGTTTTTTTACTTCACCGTGCTAATATCAATCCACGTTTTCGCCAATGAACCAGTGACGCATGGAGGTGTTGCATTGAGCACGCATGACAGGGTGTACTCAATCCTAATCAAGAAGATAGTTTGTAGCTGCGGCCAAGTCTATATCAACAAGACGGAATAATACTGCAGCAACAAGGAACATGAATGTAGAAGAAATAATAGAAATTGTTTTTGTAACCACGTGGCTACCTTTGTAGTTGTTATCAATTGGTTCTCCAAGTGAGTTCATTTAAACTTCTAGGTATATAAATTGGTTGAGTTATCGAAGCCTTTCGCCTTGTGAAACAATAAGAGTTGATCAGAACGATTGCATTGTCTTTTCTAGAGTGTGTTGATGGTTGTAGATGTCTGAATTTATGGTCGAAGTTATTTGCACCATTCACAATACCGGGAATCAACAAAATAATGTGACAAATATTTTGAAGTACGTGACGGACGTGGGGCTAGCTGTAGAATTTTCTGCAGAAACATTTCATTCGATCTTTTATTTGACTTACTTAGAGGTACCAATGTGTTATTGTGTAGCGATGCAAACAGTTTTCTATACACAGTGAAAAAAATTTAAAGCGTCTCATTTTTTAGGCTTGCCTTCCGCTGCGCAGAACGTGGTGTTGCACAGTATATCTTCGTGTTGACGAGTGCCTGACGAAAAAAAGGAAGAAGAAAATAAAATACAGGTTAGAGAAAATTTACTCGTCAGCCTCATGATGTGTTTGTCATGAAAAGCTGTTTTAAAGTGCCAGGCAGCGCCCGCTTCTTGCCACGCCAGTACAATGAAAACAATGTGTTCTTAGGAAACTGCTGCTTTCAAAAGAATTGTGCTAGCATAGTTATCATGAGCGAGGTGAAGAGAAGTCGAAATTTCCTATTACAATATTCTACAGGAAGAACAGCATCGAGAATCAGGCTGATGCAGGTACCGCCGTACCAGAAGCCCTCGTATATTGTCTGTTGAAGCGCAAACGTTGTCAAAACGTAGCCAGCTATTTTTATTTAGAAAAAATTATGGTGTCTTGGGTTATATTATTTCTCATATACATTTAAAAATATGTAAGTACACACCATGCGTACAAATCACGTAGCGACTAAGTGGTGCAGCAATTTCATCGCGGCGTCGCCACCTGCCTGTCATTTTTTGTTATGTTCACCGTCGCCTTCGGCAACCCAGCGAATCCATGTTAATACCTCTTTAAGTTGCTGACTTTTCTTTTTCCGTGCGTTGATTCACCGACGTATAAACCAGTAAACGTGCGCTTATAACATTTCGTATGACTGACGAAGCTACGACCATTGCTTAGTTTGGTTTTCGAGTGCACTGCTGACGCTATCGAAGCTACAACTTATTTTATACGAAACTGACTGTTTGTCTGGCTTTCCAAGCTACTTCACGTTACATAGGATGTTACTTATAGTTAATGAAACACCAATTAGGTTCGAGTAACTGCTTTATTGTTCAGGTACTGCGCATTGATTCACAGAGCGCTTGCGTTACTCCCGAGTGCTGCAATACGGCATCTTAGACCAGAAAGCGAACCCTGGACAACGATATCAGCGTGTTTCTGTGCCCGCCTAGGCATAAACAATGTAAGAGCAAAGTGTTGACAATGGATAATAAGACCTACAGCAGGTCGAAGTCATAACTTACTGGAATGCTTTTCTTCGTCACTTTTGGTCCAAGTCGCAGTCTTTAAGAAGTTGGACAAAGTAAACGAAACAAATTCGAAAAGGATTAGTGTTAACTGAATGAAAAGTTGTCGCTATGAAATAGCAATAAGCCCACGAAACGTGATACATATAACAGAAACTGAAAATGAGCATGCAATATAAGACGTAGTATAAAATTTTACATAATTTCAATGGGCTACTTAGTTATTTTGCTGTAATTTATTTTTAGTGGCGCACCGTAACCCAAAGACCATCAGGGCACCTGGCGTAACAGTCCTATTTCTCAACCGACACACGTGAAACTTAAAAGTAGCGCATTGGTAGCTGCGGTTGACGTATGATGCTTCTATCACGTGACGGGCGTCCATCTGCCCGTGCAGTATAGGAGCACAAGTAAATGGGGCATCTCTGAAAGTGTGCGTGACTACATGTAGGAAGAATGGGATATTTTACATGACCAAGTTCTAAGGAAGATTCAATGGACAACAAACTGATGTCTCGTTAAAAAACGCCCCCTTCGATGAACAGCAAGATAGGTAAAGGATACCCCGTGACTGTACGTTCAACCACGTACGTTGGCCTGATTATTTTGACATTAGATGATAAAGAAAGCAGGACATTTCTAAACATTGATTACCTGGCACTCGTTACGACGCGTACGCATCACATGTTTTTCTGTTTATATAAATATTTTTAATATATACAAAACAAGCTTTATGGAAAAAAAGAAGAAAAAAACAATAACTCTCTTCTCTTTGTTTCTCGCCTGTCATCTGCGTCACGATGCTCATCTATACTAAAAGATAATGAATTACCAATTAGTCCAGATTGACATCTTGATGCAATATTAAAAGATTCCCGGAGGCCGCACTTGATTACATTCTGTCTGATTTCTCGTAAAAAGCGAAAGATTGCACTGAGCTGCGACATTACACAACTGCCGCACAACCCTTTCGGTCAGAAAAGCAATGCGTAGTATGAAGGTTTGACAGTGCAAATTTTCGCTCGTGATGGCACAACCTCCAGCCAAACTGCACAACTTCAAACGGCAAGCATTCATTGGTTTTCTTCGTTAAATGACTATGCGTCCTAATTACCGAAACACTCAAGGGCAACGTTTACCAAAGCAAAATAAATAACTAAGAATGTCAAGCAGGGACTTGGGATATCGTGCACGCATGCGCAGGCCGTTATTTCCCTGTTAGAGGTCAAGCAGTGATGACTATCATTATAATAATTTGTAAATATTTCGTTCTCTAGTGAAAAACAGGGAAATGATGGTTGATGTAGAGATTTATGAATACTTCCTTCTATAGGCACAGAACAAACTTAGCCACTGGTCGCGAGAGAAAAAAGAATGTGTGGTTATTAAGCCAGACATCTCAGTCACAAAAACAAATAAGGGAAAACCTGACTGAGGTCATGGACACTTTCATGGATGAATGAATGAAAGATATTCATGTCACAACTACCACTTTCATGCTATACTTTAGATTATGCAAACTGCCTAGGGGTTAGGAGTGAGCGAAGCAACTTCATTGACGATCCATCATAAAGGGGGGAAGGCGTAGAGAAATTAAAGCTATAGCGTGCTCGGATGTCCCGGAGCAGCAACCTACTCGCGTCAAACCTGTGGGGTTGCCGCTTTTGGCCGTTGGCGTTACAGAATGCTAAGCACTGTCCTGGACCACGTCTCATTGGTTGCCTGGCTCTCGGCTGATGGTCTTGCTGCTGACGACAGTTGGAAATGCTTCTTGGTTATCCGGCGGTTGCGCACAGTGCCATAGGAGTTGTCTAGGGGGGGGGGGGGGGGGTCTCACGCCTTCTTGCAAAGTTGGCATATATATTTGTGGTGCCTTAACTCCCATCCGGGCAGACATTCTTTGCCCAGATGGTAGTTCATATGGCTTGTACTTGCAACTGCCGTAGTGTGGTTGTTTCGCTGCGTTGTAGGTCTCAGTGAGGTGGTGGGTAGATGCGTCTGCTCGTTCTGTACCGACCGTAGAACGTCGTCCGCCGTAGGTTGTGATTGAGTACTCATCCTCTTTGGCATCGGACTGTTGAGACTCCGAGAAATGTGTTGACGGATATCCATGGCTATAGTTCATGCGTGCGCCTCTGTATCTGTCCTTCTAGTTGTGCTTTGCGCCCACGTCCAGCATCCCGGCGTGATAATGATTAATAAAGGCATGTACTACGTGGGCAAAGTTCAGCTACTGGTGCCATAGCATCGAAAGTACAATACACGCTTCTCTACCCAATACGAATATCTTTAAACATCCCTAGCAATTTGTTATGCCACAACTCTCTGTTACGAGACAGAGAAACACAAATATTTACCCCATCAGCAATCGTGACATTGTAAGTCTCGGTCGGCGAGGAGACGTTGTAAGGAGTGGTTGTAATTTCATCGGACGTATCAATGGGGTAGGCCGCTTTAGTCCTGTTCATACCGGTAGACTTCATCTCCTGTATCACGGCGATGACACAATGTTGTACATTCAATAGGCGTCACGTATAAAAACAAAAGGAGAAGGACAAGTTCTCTCAGGCAAGACAGATTTGCTGTACCACATATCTCAGAAGGATTTATCATTGGGGCGCATGGTACAACGCATCAGTGGTCGCTTAAGCAAAAACTTACATAGCATTTATTTGCCTGAACGTGTAGAAGCACTGACGCTAATACAAAACTGAGTGCAGCGTCGAGGTGGGGCAAAAATACTAGCTTACAAAAAGTACGTAAAAATTGCAGGTGACTGTCAAGAGAGAGACAGAGAAAGAGAGAGAGAGAGAGATTTTTGCACAAAGCGAGATAAGTTGGCCCTTTAGCTACAGCTTGCTCTGGCCTGCTGCTCCCCACCGGAGAAAAGAAGCGGGTGAGCAAAAGAGTAATAAATGGCGGTGGTAAGGTAGGGAGATGAGATTAAAGTTGTGTTACATTGAAGCGATTCTCAAGACTTGCATGCAGTCCAGTGGCTCGTAAAACTATAGGCTAAGCTTACGGTAACTGTAGAAATTCACGCGGTTGAGGTCTCTGCGTAGGTGACTTTGGTAACTCGAAGTTCTAAGTGATTGCTTATGCGTTGCATACCTTGTTACATCTGGTATTGTTGCATGTGTGGAAAACAAGAAGAAAAGAAGCGTCCCATATGTGTTGTACTCAAAATAGACAAGCACAAAAGTGGCGGTTAGACATCTCTTCGGTATGGCTGGTGCCCTGTTAAAAATTCGTCCAGGAGCGTTTTTACATATTTCTTCAGTCTATGTGTAACCTGCTGCCGGCGATGTCAAGTTCGTATCTTTGTAGCTAGATGTGAGCTTTAAGAATAGTCACATTGTCTTGCCTCAGCATTACTGGACACCATGTTTCGATCGAAAAGTTCAATGTAAAGAAAATGTAACGAAACATTAAAATTTTTGAAATGTAACTGTAACGAGTTCGTTTGGCAATAGAGGAGGCAGTAACGAGAATTCATGATGGATTGATTGATTGACTGATTTATACGTGTGGTTTACCGTCCCAAACACACCATATGCATATTAGAGACGCCGTATTTGAGGGCTCTGGAAACTTCGACCACCTGGGGATCTTTAACGTGCACTAAATTCTGAGCACGCAGGCTTTAAGCATTCTCGCCTCCACAGAAAATGCAGCCGCCACAGCCGGGTTTAAATCCCGCGACCTTCGGGCCAGCAGCCGAGTACTTTAGCTACCGGACCAGCGCAGCGGGGCTCCAATATTTGAAAGAACGAGGAATGAGCGTTTGTTACTGTTCTGGAGGAACGTGTATAACCTAGAAACGGCAATAGCTTCACCAGACGTCTATATTGCTGTCGCCATGAGAGATAGACAAGATTTACATCAAATCATTAATGCAAGCATCGATAGAGGTGTTGATTCAGGGTTACTGAAAGGTAATTTTATAGTAAACGCAGGAAATGTATTAATTTTTAGCAGGGATACTTTGGTGTTTTTCTACCACTGTCAAATAAGTAAAGTGCAATAAACGTGAAAATAGACCACACCAAATTACGACGTAGGCGTAGTAAGCCGGTGCAGAGTAAACAAGGTACCGTGATTTACTTTTACGTTAGAAAAGTAGCTCACAGTTGTACTGGAGCTTCCTAGCTTCAAAGTTGTGACAAGGCTCAAATAGTGGCAGCGACCGCTGTAGTGAGAACTTAAAACACTTCGAGCGTTTTACCGGCCCAGGCAACAATAGAGCTTTTTAAAAACGACTCCATGGGGGCCACCATAGTTCCTCCAGGGCTTCGTAAATTGGCGTAACCCCTCGAAAATCCACTGTGGAGGCTATGCTACTAGCCTTTGCACTCCCGCGCGAGGCCCATCATGGCGGCGTTTTTTGCTTCCTGTGAAAAGCTGTATACTAGCAATAAGTGACCCTGTTATATCTTTAGCGTGCTGAATTATTTCACGCATCCAAACTAAATTTTTTAAGGTTAGGCTTGCTTTCAAGCCGAAAGCGAATAGGTGTTAGGATGATTTGAAGTACACAATCTTGACATCGGATTACGCGAACTACGCGCAATAAATATAAAATGAGAAACTCTTGCGGCCAGGCACAAAAAATTACGAAAAACGTTTCAGCAAAAAGAAATTTCACAAATATATGTGACCCAAATATAAGGAGCATCTTACCGGGACAACGTCACTTGCACTTGACGATCCCGCAGATGCTGTGATTCCATGTAAGCTCACTGTAGCGCCATGTGACTGCGACGTGTTTACCACACCGTGATGCGAAGTTGTCTGTCCTGCCGTCTTTGTTGAATGCGTCTGATAGAATTCGAAGTAGGAATTCAGGCTACATACCTTTCTGCAAGTCAGGTATATTATCACTGTGTACTGTTCCGTCCCAAGAGACATATTCTAACAAGGTTCAGGACAAACACGATCTTTGCAAATGGCGGAAAACTATAACATATTGTAATAATATAACCTCAAGATGGCAGAAGCATTCCTTACCCATTCGTGAAGTTATAATAGTGAGACAAT